ATAAGATCAGATTACAAAATTTGACACCAAGGCAACATTTAGGAGTGTTTTTTCGGCCTAAATGGGCTTATAAGAACCACATTTTGAAATGGGCATTCTGAAAAGCGCTTTTTGAGTATTTGGCCGTCTGGCCGGTCACCACTCACCAATATAGGTGTAAAACGGTCCTGGCAGCCCATGGGCTGGCGCGGCCTGCGCATATCCCAGGCTGGGCTGGGCAAAGGTTTGAGGCCCATCGGTTGTGTCGGCATGGTCGGTCCATGGCGTAGTCCATATATATATATATATATAAAATTTTTTCCTTTATTAAAAATTTGTATTGAACTATTGATCCACAGGTCTGGCCCATGCTGGCATGGCCTTCTATAGTGTGGGCAGCACAACAAAGCTGTACCATGCCAGCTTGGCACTGCCCACATTACACCTATAGTTATCAACTTTCTTGTTCAAAATAACTTCTTGTAAATGGAGTTTTTTTTTTCCTACTTTTCACCAAATAAATTTATGATTAGTTTTTGGCTTTTCCCATGTAAAAAGCACAAAACGTCCATTGGAGAAGTAATCTCAAATGTGACGTTAATCAAGCTCTCTATATCCCTAGACAACTGACCGAATTAATATTGGGGACTCAAATAAATATAAACCCTCTTTAACAGGGTTAGAACGATATTGGATTTGTTGGGTTGAAGTGTAACAATCCTGATCAGTCCTGATCTCTAGTCTCTAGCGCTCTGGTCAGACTGAGGATTTTGATCACTTCATTTATAAGACTTAAGGGTAGCAATTGGGCGACGAGTTTGGGATGGACTTCAACCCTACCCATCTGACCTGTTTATAACCCATTAATGACTAGGAAAAATTAAATAAATTGGGTACAATCCAAACCCACCTTAACACAATCAATCCGCCCAATTCATTAATTTTTTATGGGTTTTTATTAAGGGCAATTTTTGTGGTTTAATATCAATAAAAGCAATATAATTAAAAAATTTTAAAAATAGGTTAATTTTTTAAAAATAATATCAATAAAGGGCAAAAATATTGTTCATCTTCTTCTTCTTGCCCTTTGTTTATTAGAACCGCCGCTGCCTCCGCCCACCTCTACCTCCGCCTCCGACAACGTTGCCGGAGGCAGAGGTGGCGGCGACGGCGATGGCGCTGGTGGTTTCTTTGTCCAATGCCGCCACCTCCGCCCACCTTCACCTCCGCCTCCGCCTCTAGCAACGTTATCGGAGATGGGTGGAGACAGAGGTGGCGGTGATGACGGGCAGAGGAATGACCACCAGTGCCGCTGCCGCCACCTCTACCTCCGGCAATGTTGTTGGAGGCGAAGGTGGCGAGGTTGGACAGAGAAGCCACTAGCGCTATCGCTGCCACCTTTGCCTCTGGCCACCTCCAGCAACGTTGCTAGAGGCGGAGGCAGAGGTGGGCGGAGGCGGTGGTGAGCGACAGCGGACGGCGATGGCGGAGGTGGGCGGAGGCGGTGGTGAGCGGCAGTGGACGGCGGTGGCGGTGAACAAATGGAAAGAAGAAGAAGATGAA